CGACAACGTCGACAAGGACTTCCCGTTCCAGATTCGACGCAAGCAGTTTCCAGTATTTCCAGAGTTCGCGATGACGATCAACCGAGCTCAAGGCCAGTCGTTCAACCAAGTAGGTATTTGTTTGCAAGGCCCCGTGTTCTCCCACGGCCAATTACACGCGCGACGTCGAGAAAGGTACTCACGATCATGTCCGCGTTTGGGGACGACGCGATGCACACCAAAAACATCGTTTACCGCGAAATCTTCGTCTCACGCCAAGGCCTTCTACCAGCATAAAGGCTCTCTAATTGCATAAATACATGGTAGCTTTGCATTTTACTCTTTGTTTACATGTATACATCAGCTCCAAAGACTCCATCCAGCTGCCGAGCGCAGCGAAGGCGGCACTGGCAAGTAGTGCAGCGAGCTGCGAAGCGAGTGGAACGGGTTGCGGCAAACCATGTCCTATCCACGCTGGAGCGGGCGACCCCAATGCTAGTTGCACGTGATAATCCAGAAGCCACTGGTTTTACTCCCTCACTATCCGAATCGCCGGCTCGGACGCAATGGCATTCCACGCGCGATTGCGCGAGCTTATGCATGAAGGCTGGAAGTCCCAGCAGTCGACAGGACTTTCCTACGGCTCTTTGCTATTTCACTCCGAAAATCCTGAATCCAATGCAGATGCATTTGACGTTGTGTCAGACGAGCTGCGAGAGCAACAACGGTTGAGGCAAGGAAGCAGTGGTGAGTCCCGGTCTAGTGCGGCGGCACGTGAACATTCTGAACAAGGCAACACCAATTCGGATGGTAACCATTCCCTGCCAAACGATTCAGAACGAAGTTCAAACGAAGTGCTGGATCGGAATGCCCCTCAACGCAAGAATGTATATGCTGTTTTGTGTTCATGTACAAGTTTAGATGAGTTCTAAACTTGTATTGTTCCTCTATCATGTACAGATGGCTCGGATACACGTCGAGCAGTATCGGTACCAGTGACACCGGCTTCTTCTAGCTCCCA